AGGCAGCCAGCCCTCGCGGCGTCCCGGCCAGAGCGCGAGGCGAGGGAGCTGCAGAGCCCAGGGGCGCTGGGAAGGAAAGAGGGAGGTCGCCCCCAGAAAGGAGAGCGGGAAGGCGGGACGGGGGTCGATCCCATGGAGGCCGCCGCTTGCATGTGAACCGGGAAAGGGCGAAGTGCGCTAAGCGGCGATCTTTGCAACGCGTGGCTGTATTGCTAATCGCCCCCCCCCCCCGCGGCCCCGACCTGGTGCATAAGGACATTTTCAGCGCGCGCAGCTCAAGGACGGCTGCTCGGTGTGGGTGTGGGTGTGGGTGTGCGTAGCGTAGAAGAGATGGCAGCCTCTTGCTCAGTCCCTAAACTGGAAGCATTAACCGGTCCCCCCTTCTGGGCGCGCTTCACGCTCGGGGAAGTTGAGGGAGCCTTTCCTTTGAACGGGAGAGTGCGAGTGGAAGAGTCCACGCTGAGCGTGCCTAGGAGGAGGCGTTGCGTGGGTCAAGGGGTTTCAAGGGAAACCAGCCACCGATGCGCTTTAGTGCCGGAGCGGGGGTTAGAAACGATTGCCTGGTGCTGGGCCTCCTCCCAGCCTCGCGGGGCATCTCTCTGGAGCATGTGCATCATGCCTCGAGCAGACTGAAACCGCTGCTCGGCATCCTCAGTGTTTGGACTGTGAAATGGGAGCTATAGGACCATCTTGCTTGTGTGGTGTGCTTGAAAGAAATGAATGTCCCAGGCAGACAACTGTCCAGCTGAACTGAAAGGCACCAAAACCTTCCTTTCTCTACAGCTCATGGAGGAACAGTATTGTTGCACGCTTTTGTGCCTAGAAATAACTGTCTTAAAAAAAAAAAGATACTGTTTTATCATACTTCAGGCCTATATTTGCTTAAGTAGGGCAATTCCAGACAGCCTCTTTAAGCTGGTTGTCTCCAGTGCTGAAACCAGCTGGAAATGAAGCTGGCTTAAGAAGCTGCTGTCTTGATTTCAAGCTTTGGCAAAGATGCTGGCCAAGAGTTCTGTCTGGACAGCAACTACGGTGGCCTCTGATTGGTGGATTCCCCTGCTTAAAGAATCAGAGGCCAAAGATCCTTCCCACCCATGCCTGGAAGGCAAGCGCCAACTGCTTTTCTTTCCACCGGCAGATTTTTTAGGATATCCGTTTGCATGAGCAAAAACGCCCGGTGGTCATAGACCCCTACAGTTTGAGGTAATATTAGAGACCATTGAGTTCAGCCCCCTGCTCAGTGCAGGAGTTCTTGCTCACTATGAACTTCACAGATGCATTGGTGGAAAAATAATCTGAGGCACCACTGTTTTACCTTCTTGCTGTCATTTGGGCGTGTCAATTTTACCCAGTTCTTGCCTTCTGCCAGCAAACAAGCCTTTCAGCTTTGCAAACAAGCCACATGAGGAGAGGTTCAACAAACCATAAACATTACTGGATTTCAGTCCAGGAGAATTGGGAGGCACATCAGCACTGAGAGAGAAGAGGAAGGAATGGGATGTGTGTGGGGGGGTGGGGTGGGGTGGGGTGTTTTCCTCTTCTTTTTGATTGTTTGGAAAAAGTTTTGGGGTTTGCTTGCTTCCTTGCTGTGTTTGCCCACACTAATGGACACACTCGCTTTTTCTCTGACACACAGAATCTTTCGCTGCCCTTCCCTTTCTCCTTCTTGCAGTCTTCTGTCCCCCTCCACACCACTAGCCCCCCCCCCAGCTTCCTGTCCCTCCACCACCCATTTCATTGCTCTTAGGGTGCTTCCATGGGACTGATTAAAAGACACGCACACAGAGGAAAGGCCCACAGTTTCACTGGTTCAGCAGTGGACTGGCCACACAGAAACCCCCCCAAAGAAAGGTTCACTGTTCTCTAGTGGATGGGTTAACGAAAGAAAACAAAATCAAAAAGCCCAGCTGTGCACGAGTCCAACAGCCCAGGGAAGATGGCCAAGGAGGGCAGTAACCATGATTGGAGGGACGAAGCATGCCCAGCATAGTAGACACGAGCCAGTCCACAGCATAGCTGGCACTGACCACACAGCGCTGCTTGGGCCGGCAGAGACTGGAAAAATTGCTTTTGACAAAGAGCAAGGCAGGATGGGTAGAGGTTGTGCTCACCATAGTCTAGAGGCAGGTCGAGGGTGATGCCATGCATTTGTAAGCAAGCTGCCCCACACCACACCGGGGCAAGCAGACTATGCACAAAAGGAGAAAAACACAGAGAGTGTAGCTTACACCTACTGCAGTGCTTCATTTACTGTTGATACAAAATTAGATGTTTTGTGCACCCACGCTCTG